TAGTCCTCTATAGCTGGTGGTATTCTGCATTGCTGTATAATGCATTGCTATGTGGTGGGCCTCCATGGTGGGTCAGTGGATTTAGACCCACTTCTGTGCTCCCTTCTTTTGGTGCGGCAGCACCCCTCCTGAACCACCATGTAGGTGTAGGCTTGAAATCACTCAAGTCTCTCCTCCATGACAGATTAGAAGGGGCAATGCCTTTAAAATTGAAGCAAGCCCAGTAGTGGCTCCTAAATTACCAAAGCAGCACTGGATAATGAGGTGATTTGAAGGTGGATCAAGAAGGGAAAACATAGGCAAGGGAACAGTTTGTCTAGAATGACTCTAGAGCATTGAACTATGGATAGATTTGGGGGAGCGCTAATAAAAGACTTTCCCCCGGGCGCCTAATTTTTTACACAAATAGAGCTTTCTTTTGGTGCTATTTGATTGCCGCTGATTTTTTTAATTTAATTTTTTAATGACTTTTTAAATGAAAAAAGACCAAAAATTGTGGGGAAAAAATATTTTCAACTTTTTGTTATACAAAATATCAAATAAAATCAAATTTCTTCCTAAAGTTAGGCCAAAATGTATTCTGCTAAATGTTTTTGGTAAAAACAAAATCCCAATAAAGTATATACTAAGCTGTTTTTGTGAATTGGTACCAATTATAAGTGGTACCACATGGTTTTTATCCATATGGTGTCAAACAGCAAAATCGGTATTGCTCGGGGTAAAGGATTGGTTTAGGAATGATATTGCCGGTATATTTTTTTCAAACCTTTGTGTGTCTGCTACATAAAATCTTATAGGAAGCTGAACCCCCCACAGGAAAAAAAATTATCTACAGCCCTGCCTGCCGGTGGCCATCTTGGTGATGGACGCTGGCAGAGAGAGGAGGGGATGTTCACTCGGTATACGGTATGCTGCCGGGTCCCCTGTCGGGCTCTCGGTCCATGACTGAGTGCCCAACTTTTCAGAGGGGGTGACACCAACATGACGGTTAGTCATGTGGGCTGCACCCCCTTGTGACACCACTGGGTTAGTACTTCTGCCTTGCAGCACTGGGGGTCCCCGGCTTGAATCCCGGTCAGGACACTATCTACAAGGAGTTTGTCTTGCTCTGTTTATTTATAATTGGGAATGGAGAGTTGAAATAAGGGAATATTGAAATATGGGACTCTGCTTCTCCGCTATCACCCAGCACTCAGCAAGGCATCTAAAAAATATTGTGAGTTCCTTCATGATCATATAGGTTTTACAAAGCCAGTGATTCTGCACTTTTATCGATGATTTGTATAGCACCATGTTCTTCTTTGAAACCCAAATATGTACTACCTATATCAAGGGTGAATGGTACAGGTAAAAGAGTACATTAAATGTTCTAAAGACTAATAAGGTTATGTATCAATATGTGGCAATGGACAAGAGCCTTATCCAATGGCCATAAAGTCAATAATTTTTAACCTACCTGAACATTAAAAATGTGTTCAAAACATCTTTCTTCTGTGCTGATATCAATGTTTCTCATTATAGCTCGGTCACCAGTCTCCTTAAATTGTCCTCTAGATGTCACTCTTGAAGATAGGAGATCGGCATCTAATGTAGCGTTGTAAGTGATAGCCACTACACAAAGACAAGCAAAACCAGGCATCAGGTATGTTGTGGAAAAAAGAACCCAAAGAACAGCCTACTTTTTTCTGATCTCTGAAATGTTCTAAACAACACTGAGGGGTCTATTCATAAATCTCAGCAAAATAATGACATTTCCATTGCTAGACGTTCGCTGTGAAAAATGATATTTTTTCCCAAGTTTGCAAGTTTGACATTGAAAGCTTTTGAAAACTAAAACATTAATGAAACGTAGACATAATATTGAAAACTTGTGAAATGTGGATGAAAATCTATTACACCACCTCTGAAAATAGTTACTTCTTGTATTTCCCTCTATTAATGTAATATGCCAGATGTGGAATGGCAATTATTGGTGACATTGCTGTCAAATGGAAGAAGGTCATCCTTCATAAATAGGTGGAATCTCTTTTTAAGGAATTTTTTGCCCAGCTCTGCTCACTATTGCTCAAAGTGTGGTTGCCCAACCGGAGTGCTCCAATAAATGCTCTCCTGCACCCTGCTCATGCCTCTGCAGCGTTTCTACTACTGCACCTACTCCTCTGCCCTCTACCCATACTTCAGCTTGCAAACATGTACCTGTTTAGTGATTGATGGACTGTCTTTAAATGGGCTTCACTCCTGAGTTTATCTACCAACGTCATGGTATCATTAGGCTCTTATTTGCACTCCTTCTCGTTTGTCTGATCTTCTGTTGTGAACCTCAGCCTTAGTGACCACTGTTTGCACTAACTATTGCTTTGACACCCAAAACTGCTGCCTCCTGTCTTTCAACTCTAGCCTTATACTGTATCTAACTTGCTCAACTTTGGTTTGAACCTGCCTACACTTCTGCTTGACCCTTTGGCAATGCATATGTCTGACTTTCTTGACCGTTGGCTTGACCTTTCTATGTCTGACCCCCTGGCAACTGTCTTTTTTAGGCTCCTTCCTAGGTCTGTTATGACCTTCTTGTCTAGTTTTTGTTTTGTTCTATAATCTACACCATAAAAACCAAGTACTGTGTGAACACATAACAGTTCTCAAAATGGCAGCAAAAGGTGAAGAATATTCCCACAGCAGTCATCAAACCCGAAGCAGCAGCCTTCACTTTCACTATCCACAAAATAGATTTTGCACAAATTGTTCACCATTTTTTAAATAGGTACATGGCAATTCTAGGGGCTACAATTTTCTCTATACCTAGTCTGCAAGTAGAGGAGGTAGCGCTCCCTGTAGAGAGAAGTGCTAGGCCATTGTAGCACGTGAGCTATCTTTTGATGTATAATTTATTAAAAAGTGGTGAAAATTAATGGAGAATTTGGCCATTAAAGCTTTATGAAAAGATGAAACTATCAAAATGTATATTGAACATGAAAACTAGTACAATATCAATACTGGCTGATATAACTAGGCCCCATACAATTGTGTTTACAGTAGACGTGATGATGACATTTATCATTGTGATTATTATACTCACCGGATTGACTCTTGGAATTAGCTGGTCTGAATCTTGCCATGAAGCAGATTTTTACAGTAATCTCACTATTTTTGTTTGTGAGAATTATTTTATCTGGGATAAATGATGCCTTTATGGACACATCTGCTATACCCAGTGACCTGCAAAGGAAGAAAGAAATATATCACATGAATAAATTAAAGTCTAACGTCAGACAAAACTTTTTATTTAGGTTTGAATGAGGCAGGGACGTGTTGGATGTTCTCTCTATAGGGGTGCAAAACCGTATAGGTAGAGTGAGCAAAGGTTAGAACTTGTCTGAAGTTGTGCTGGTAGCAAATTCATCCCCTTTTTATGCACAGGTGTCACATGGACAGGAAGTGAGGGGAAATCTACCCAATGAGTTTACAGACAAACACAAACACATAATAGATATTTTAACTGTTCTCTACCATAGGCAAAACTAAAAAGAAAATTGGCTGAAGTCAGGCTGAAAGAGTTGGCAATGCTATAGTCCAACAACATGAGGGGAGTTTATCAATACTGGAGCAGACAGAATATTCAGCATCCACCTTTCATTTTCAAATCTTAACTGAACAAACTAAAGAGAAAAGCTGATTGGTTGCCATAGGCAGCTGCTCCAGATTCTTCTGCTCCTTGATACATTCCCATTTATGTGTTTTACGACCTGGATAAAGCCAGTGAGGATTGCCTGTGACCACAATCTTTTACAAGCTCTGGAAATATTTTCAGCCTGTGATCGGTATGGAGTTAGGTCCCACAACTATTACTTGTCTAATCCAGCCCTCATGGGGGGGAAGAAGAATGTTTACATAGCCGCAGTGGCAGAACTACCGGGGTCGCAGAGGTCACAGCTGCGACTGGGCACTGGAGTTCCGCCACTTAGAAGGGGCCCAGGACAGGAGGACGGGGCCCGTAATAACCGCTAATTTCAGTACTGGGACGTCTTCCTCCTGTCCTGGGCCCTGCATACTTCATGCTGCTCCCCTCACCTTCCGAGCTCAGCGTGAAGAATGATTGAGCCGGCGCAGTGGGAAGCGGGTTATCCCCGCCTCCTCATCACACAGAACGGCTGCCGACTTTAGAACTACCTGTGTTCTATGGAAAGCTCCAACTCCCTGGGTGTCAGAGGCGTGCTGCTGACACGAAGAGGGAGTTATAGGGAGCTTAGATTATGAAGGGGATATGTGAGAGCAGAGTGTAAGTTCAGGTAGCTGACTATTATCACGAGGGTCAATATCATGTCCAATAACCTTGTCATGAATAGTGAAGAATGTTGGTTATGTGTTCAGATGAAGCACTGAGATTTTGTGGAATGCTGCATTAAGTTTTACTTGCTTAGAAGAACATTACATGTGTGAATATAGCATTGTGAAGAAAACAGAGGAAAAAACTTCCTGTGTATCATAGATAAGCATGCACATAGAGACTAACATTGTACTACAGCGCCATCTACAGCTCAAAAGACATATCAGTACATTAGTATATGTTGCACATGCCCTCAGGAAGCAATACGACTGTAAACAGCTAAGCTATGCACCTGATACACACATGATTGTTCCAGGTAGTAAAGAAAATATACCGTATACGACAGCCTTCAAACGTTCACTTTCAAAAACAGCAACAAACACAGCTCCAATATATCTTTCCTGAAGATCTTTTTTAGACATTCATAAGAATTAATTGGAGTGTAAACCACCCATTTACTGTTACCAGAGATTCCTGTACTGCCGCCACTGTCAGCCTATGCTGGACACATTGGAGAATGGGGAAGGGGGTGTGGAGGTTTTGAAATTCTCAGGCTCTCTGTATCAAAGCTTTGCTTAGTAATTACAATTTATAAATCTGATCTACTCACCAAAACTGAATTACTTTCCCATACGCACCAACAGACACGTCAGTGATGGAATCTCCATTCAAATCTATGTGTCCATCAACTGATCTTCCAAAAAACTGCAATTGTGTGTTAATTGAGGATCCAAGTATTTTCTGCAATAAAGAAAACCATTTACCAATCAAGTCAGTGCAAGGTGTACGGTGCATATGAATACTTTATATATCTGCATTGGTTTCTTTGGAGTTAACCAAAGTTGAAAAGAATGTTTACAGTCTGCTTGCAACGTTTTGAATGTTTTGAATAGCTTCCTATTGTAATTGCAAAGCTGAAGTTTAATGTGCCTTTAGTTTGCTTTCCCTAGTTCCTCCTTCCCCCTCATCAACATGCTAATTACATTTGTAAATAAAACCTTTCCATTTTTATTACATACCTTACTTTAGCCCAATTGATGTCATCTTTGGGTCTCTGTGCTTCTTTGTGCAATGCAGATAGATCATGGCTGGTGGGCTGTACATAGCTTTCTGAATACATCACAGCACTCTAGTCTAGAGCCCTGAACCCTGAAGCAAGTACTGGGCTAGCTTTTGGGAAGAGTTATGCTAATATTAAAATGCTGTGATAGGGGGATGTCAGTCTGGAGGGGTAGGTTTGGGCAACTAAAACCTCTGTTTTTAACGCATACTGTTAGACAGTGTAACTTGCTTTGCTGTGGGCTGGCTGGCAGGTATGCTGGGGACTCTTTTTGTGTGTTGTATTGTTGTAAGGCTTCCCATATGCACCCTGCTACCAAGGCCGGTTATAAATTATGCGGTTACCATTTATTTCTAGTTTGACTATTTTTGATGTGAAGACGCACTGGGGACCCCAGCGTGCATTTTGGATTGCTGGGCCTCGAGTGCGTCCCTGCACTTTTTGATGAGGAGTGGGCTACCTCCAGGTATACCTGCATTCAATTTATCGACCGCATTAATATGCTACAACATGAAGACTCATAAATAGTTAGGACCACGCTTGACAGAGGAGCCTTGACCGGGCAGTGTGGCTTCTACATATTTTTGGCCAAAGGTTTGTGTAACTAAAACCTCTATTTCTAATGCATACTGTTGACAGGGTAACTTTTTTTTTGTTGCAGGCTAGCTGGCAGGTATGCTGGGGGCTCTTTTTGTGTTTTGTATAGGTGTGCCTAGGCAGACTGCATTTTAATACAGACTGCCCACAGTAACACCCACAGGTGATGCAGAGCTTCCATGGTTGAAACAACTGAAATCCAATGCATGAAAAGGCTGGACCAGGGACAGTCAGACTAGGGAGGAAAGAGCTAGATGGATGTCCTCCAGCCTGGAAATAAGGCAGGCTCTATGACTTGCTGCAGTTAATAAAAGTTGTTTAATGCTACAGAAACCATATAAAAAAACAAAATCAATGCTGGTATGTGATCTAAAAGGAGGAAAGGAAGGCTTGAGGTAAATTTGGGTCATGGCTATGCAAATCATGTTTATGTTAATATGTAATAAACAGGAGCTGCAGCTCTCACAAGTGTCCATACCTGGGAATACTTGGTCCTGATTGTATTTTTATTTCCATTGTAAATATAAACAGCACCGCTGGCCTCATGTTCTAAAGGTGCTCCAACAATAACATCATTAAAACCATCCAGATCAATATCAGATATTGCTGATATAGCTGCCCCGAACCGAGCATTCTCCAAATTGTCAGGGCCTTCCAAGAGTTCACGCTGACTTAAAGTTCCCTAAATGAAAAAAAAAAAAAGAGATGCATTTCTGTACTTATCTTGCTTAGGGTAATGGAATAAGTTTACTTATTGTAATGTGGAATGATACTGTATTTTTCAGTGCCGTCCGTCCGTTTTTTTACTACGGGCGGACGGCAAGTGGTTAAAAGAAAAGAACATCCATTTTACCCCATTTATAGAAAATAAATAGACTTGTCCTTGTTCTTTCTTGTTCTCATTCATGAACATGGGGGCTCCTACTAACAACACATCCGTGATAGAATCCCTGTCCACATCTATAGCGCACAGCACACTGCCGTAATAGGAGCCAATCTGCAAAATAAATGGAACAAAAAAAAAAGCGTCATGGACCACACAGTCTCCTCACTTTTACAGTGCAGAAAATAATGGTTTCTGGAGGCTGTCAAATGTATAGATAGCTGGCTCCAACTCTCTCAGTTCAGCTTCCCTGAACTTCCTGTCCATCACAAAATCGAAAGAAAGAGTACAGTCTCCAGCAGCTGTCCATCTGTTAGCTTGGGGAAGGAAGGGGGGAAGGTGTGTGGAACAGGGAGCAGGGTAGTTCAGCTGATCATTTTCCACCGGGGTTCCTTAGATTGTTAAATCAAAGTTTGCCAGGCTGGGTAGTACTGACAGGTCCACCTTGTCAGCCCACTCAGCAGGAATTGGTCAACATTTAAGTTGTGTATTTTTAGCTATAAACAATAACAGCCCACAAAAAAAAAATGGTTGCTCGTAATGGGATTTTATGCCCCCTCAAAAGACTTCTGAGAACTACACAGACAGCGCGGTTTAGTGAATGGTTAAGGCCTTGTATGAGTTTTTTTGTGTCCCATTGGGGAGATTTTCCTTCACTTCCTGTCCCAAAAACACAGTAAAAAAATAAGAGAAAATCAGTTGTCACTGGAAGAAGTGTCCCCATTGAAGATTCCCTCTCACCTCCTGTTCCTCACCTTCTTGTCACCAGGACAAACAAAGAGGGTGAATCACTCCAGTGGGGACAAAGTGCCATACTATCCTGACAGGGGTTTTAACACTACCACACTCGGTTTCAGAAAAGAAAATCCGTGCTGACTTCTGTTGAGAACTCTAGCTGCCTTGTGCCTAGGACTGCAGTATTTTCTGAGTCATAGACCTGGAACAAGCATGCAACCATTGAAGTCAGAGCAAAATCAGACATTCTGATCTGCATACTTGTCCTTGGGTCAGTACGGAAACAGGCTTATTGCTGTCAGTTCAGAAATGAACCTGATAGGTAGAGCAGCAATAGAGACGGTCATGACTTCAGGCTTCAGGAGTGATACGCTGTATTCCATTGGGTTCACATACCTGTTCTCCTCTCTGTATCTGAAGGATTGTCACATTCCCCTTATCATTAATGGTGTACACCACAACCTGACCAGTGTAGTTCGTTCTTGGGGCTCCAGCAACAAAGTTCACCGAGTTCCCCACATTGAGAATGGCAACAGAATATCCTGCAAGATAGATGTACGAAACACACAGAGAAAGCAAATTACTTCACAGCATATGGTTTTCATATAGCATGCCAAGACAGTCATTAAAATCAGATGTAAGTTTTTTCCATAGACACATACTTCCTATGAGGAGATGCTGACAGGGGTCTATGAAGGTGCTCAATATGACACCCGCGGCTTTCACTAACACAGGAGGTAACAACAAAATGACAACCTTATTTCTTCAAAGAATTTACTCATTTAATTCTTAAAAGTTGGCCTTGGGCATAACTCCATAAACTGCCTCGGGAACCTTTTTCCTGGAATGCAAGCGAAACTCCAGTTGTGTCTATGTTACCTTTTATTGCCCACCATGAATTGCCCTCATCTTTATATTTACACAAAATACCCCATACATACCTTTTTCACTGCAGTCTTCTACTCAGTCCAGTGATAACACGGGTCCTTTCTCTTCATGTACGGCAGTGGCAGGGGGCGATCCCTACTCCTGGACTGTGTGGCGCTCTTTTAATGAGTGCTGTTAAGTCCTAAAGCTCCCCTGGGGGTGTGTCAACGACAGGCTGGGGTCACAGGAAATGGATAGACTGATATTGGCTGTTGTTTATCCTGAAGAGGATCGGCAATGGTGGATAAAGCACTGAAGACAGAGCTGCAATGTGGGGAGGGTAAGTAGAGATTGGCCACATTTTGTATGTAATACAGGAGGTGGAGGCGTTAAAAAAAAAAAAAAAATCGGAGCTCTTCTTTGAAGAAGGCAAGGGTTCTAGATGGGACACACCTTCTAAAGGGAGCTATATGTTACTGTCCTAATTATGTAATAAAGATGTAGATACGTGTTCTATTACAAAATAACTCCAACTCTAATGGATTTTTCTCTTTTGGGTACAGAAGGGCAGTGATTCCTTTCTAGTGGATTCTTCTTAGTAATATATGGGGAGCACACAGCTGTTGATAAGCAGCTGTTAGGATCCAGAGCGCCTTCAGGTGGTGCTGGAGCTAAGCCCTGCAGTTTCCGTACTCACCTGCGGGGGTCTCCAGGCAGCCAGGAACTGCTAGGTACCAAACCTCCACTGGGTGGTGCTGGAAACTGCAACTCCAGTGCTCGCCTGCAGGTGTCTCCCAGCTGCCACCAATCATCCACCACCCATCTCCCTGGGAGATTACTTAAGCCCTCCCTGCAGTAAGGTCTGTGGCTCAGTATTGTTTCCTGTTTCCTGTTAAGCCTGAGTCCCCTGTCCTGTAACCTGCTGCTGTTCCCGAGTCCTGTAGCCTGTGTATGTTCCCTGCTTGTTGTCCAGAACCGTGACCTGTTTATGTTCCTGAGTCCTGTTAGCTCCTTGTACCCTGACCTTTCGTCCTTTAGTTCCCCTGGTGTTTTGCTTTGCTCCCTAAGTGTGCTTGCCTGGTTCTTCTTGCATGTGGTGTTGTTTAAATGTAGTTGGTTGCTAAGACTTGTTTCTGTTGTATTATTCTGGTTGGCATATTAAAACGGTATATCATACATTCTGCCTTGTCCTGTGTGGTCACGCGTGTTTGGTCTGCCTGTGTGGGTACCTGCGCAGGTGTGGGGTCACCTGTGCCGGTATCCCTGACAGCAGCCCAGCAGCAAAGCCAATCCTTCAGATTGGTATATACATGCTAGGGTTGGGGAGAACACTTTGTACAACAAGGAAGGTCCAGTTGGTGATCAAGCACTGTCCACTCCATCTCAACATAAATATATTGTGCTTTCAATCTAAGTTTATTAAATGTTACATTTACAAACAATAATATAACCTATGACTATGGTAAGTATATATACCCACACACTGCCATCAATTAACACAATTAAATAAAATCCAATAGAAAAACGTGGATGTTGCTGACCCACACAACTTCAGAATGTATTCGAATATATATTTTGATTAGAATTTTTTTTTAAGGAGCAGCACCTTCAGAAAACAAATTATATAAATCAGAAAGCAGTTAATGGTCTTCAGGAAATACTACAACATATGTGACCCAAATTCAGCAGCCTTCCACAATACCTTATGGGCAGGATTGATGCCCGAGTCACATGCTCCTGTCCTATTTAACTTCACAGTCTGATGACTACAATTACCTACAGCAATTATATCCATAGATAAAGATATTTTGGAACACTGATGTAGTAATGAGCTTTCCTTTATATACCTCAAACTTACCTAAATAAGAACTTTGATTTCGGTCATGAAGAACTTTTTCAAAGGCATTGTGGGGGAAAATAGAGAATTCATTTGAATTTTGGTGCACAACAGTGCCGCTCCAGTCATAAGCACCAACAGCTCCCAACATCAGAGATTTCTGTGGGGCAGAATACTGTTGAATTAAGATTGCGGTATAACCAAACCAACATTTTACTACCTGGAAGTAAATTTCAAGTATAAACACTGAATTTGTTTATTAAGACCATGCTAATACATAGGCAAAAGGCCACCTGTTTTGGGTGCAACGTCTTTTGAAATAGCACACTATCCTTCAAACTAGCTTTAGCTATTCAGAAGTGTTAATGCAAAGGCACTCTTAGGACCAATAGGTGAGATCAGCACACAGGACAACGTCAAAAGCATTTACAAAATAGGACCAGCAATTTGAATAGTGAAAGAAGGTGTTATTGTGGGTCTACTTGCATTTTGGAAAGGGATAAAGCCAGTTTATAGAAAGTGTGACTAATCTGTCTTTATCAGGCATGTCTAAGAAAGGAGTAGTGCATCACCAAAAAACTTATCATCATTCTCAATTGTCCCTCATTTGGAGGTGGGCCATCCCTCTTCTTGCATATATCTTTTTGGATCTTCTTTTTTGTTTTTGAGAAAAGGCCCCTGCAAAAAAAGACCTTCTTACCTACTTACCTCTAAGGCAGGTGCTGACTCAGATGGTGGTTTGGTTGAAGAGTTCCAGCTTCAGGGAGAATCTTTACATTCAACATTTCCAAGAGTGTTGAATGCCTGCTTTCCCCACTGCACTGATGATTCCATCCGCTGCACCCTAAGTCACTACAGGACACAGTAGTGAATAGGAATTGTAATGATACATCTGCAGCTAATGTATGTTATCCCAGTTTATTGGCATACTCATGGAAATTCTAGTTCTTACAATGCATTGTAAAAGAAATAATTGAGCACAGAAACCAAGAATATTTTGCTTGGCAACTTAGGATGACGCTTGGATATTGCACAAAAGAGGTGAGATGATAACTATGACAAGATGTATGCAGGGGGGCAGTTCCAGGCTCTAAGGTTGAAAGAGCAGGCTCCAGTCTATAATGCTAAAGGTGGATAGTTGAATGTATAATGTAAAAATCTGCTGAAAGACATTTTGTTTCTGAAACTCATATCCAGATTTACATTCCTATAGGAATGTCTTGCCTGTGAATTACAGCTCTATGTTTATTTCCAACAAAAGGGCAGCAATGGTTAATTTGAAAAACTGCAACCCATCACATCAAATTTTCTTCTACATGTGGTATCAGGAAGCTGTCCACCTTTATCATTCCAACCACAAGCGTCCTTAACAATTAGATAAAAGCATATTACACTCATTGCAAACAAATAAATACACATATATTTCAACAACAAAAAATAGCATTAATGAGTTTTTTGCATTTGAGCCTGCAAAAGCATTGCATTCACGATCAGTGGATTACGGGTGCAATGAATAGGCTACTGCAGACTGTTCCTCCAGCTCCAGGGACCTTTGGTTATGGGGCTGGAGGAAGTTCTCAATGGACAGTGCCAGATGGGCAGATAGTTTTTTGGATCCACGCATCCCTGTGAATAGATCTGTGAATGAAGACACGGATAAGCAGGTGGAGACATGCACAACCGCTCCAGATTAAAAAATATACAGAAGCCTGCAGGGAGAACCCCACAGTTCAACTATGTTTGGCAGTTTGAGGGTGGGGGGCTGCGGAATGGCACCATGTTCTAAATTACACCTGCCAGACAGGGCTGTGTGGTATGGCAGAGCTATATAAATCCCAAAAATGGATGGACAGGAATACAAATCCTTTGGCGGGTAAAAGAGTTCACATTTATGTATTTCATCTATGTATTAAGCTGTTTCCCTGTTTAGCTTTAAAACATACAAACGTGTGAATAGGCTAGCTATTGGTATCACAGTTAAATATGAATTGTACCTTGTTCTGTGAGTACTGTGCACTGAAGCCTACTTGTGACATTTCCATCTGAAAAGTTTCACCTCCTTGTGTGGTTCCTAAAATAAAAATGAATATATAAATAACCAGTCTTGATGATTCTAATGTACTTTTAATAAATGTAAGCAGTCTTCATAAAAATAGAAAGACCATTAATGTTCTTCTACATATATTATGCCCCCATTCAATTCCTTTAATACTGCCCTAATGGCCCCCCTTTCCTTGCCCTTTAGTGCTGCTCTGATGGGCCCTTATTTCCTGCCCTTAAAGTGAAACTAAACTTCTTTGGGTATCCTGCAACCCTAACTGTCTCTACTGAGTTTTCTACTAAGCAATACATACTAAAAACATCCTATGACTTGAGCCTGTTCTGTTTTAAGAAGTGTTGGTCTTGCTAGAAATAAAAAAGGGGCAACGAAACAGGTAAGAGGACCCAAAATTACCAGCAGCTCCTTCTGGGATCATTGCTACACCTGTGTGTAAAGTAGCCAGCGCTCCAAGGTCGCTTCTGTATTGAGGTTGTAATCCATCACAGGAGTGAGCTTGGTGCAGTAGCTACTTTACAACATACACAGGGACCATGGCGAACAAAAGTAGCCACCCTCCAGAATGAAGGAAAGTGTCAGCACCAATTCAGAGATGATTTGAGGATCTACTGAGTGATACTTAAATAAGCTACATTTTAGTTAATAGTTAAAGTACTTGAATTTATGTTTAAGATTTCATTCTTGAGTTTAGTGTCACTTTAAGTACTGACCTGATGGGCCCCATTCTATGACTTTTAGCTATGTCTTGATGGGCTTCCTTTCCCTGCCCTTTATTACTGCCCTAATGGGAACTCTATCCCTGCCTTTTTTTATTGCCCTGTTTGGGCCGTCTTTACCCTCTGCTTTTTAGTACTGCTCTGATGGGCCCCTCTGCCCTTTGTTCTTTTTCTGTCTTTTAGTACTTCTAAGATGGGATTTTTAGAAATGCCTTGAAGGGCCTCTTTTCCTTGCCCTTTAGTACTGCCCTGATGGCTTCCCTTTACTTACTGTATAATATTGTCCTGATGGGCTCACTTTCCTTGCCCTTTAGTACTGCTCTTCTGGGCCCCCTTCCCCTGTCCTCTAATACAGCCCGTTTGGGCCCCCCTTTTTAGAGTTCCTGTAATGTAGCAAACTGCTAAGACAAAGTTTCCACCCCTCCAGTTGGGAAAGCCTCCTGTAACAGGCATTTTTTAAAATTTCAAATAACGCACTGGGATGTAACATAGAAATGTAAAAACCGAAACGAAACCGAAATAAAAAAATTGTCAGGCCGAAACGAAAAATGTTTTTATTTTAATTTTTTCAAATTAATATTTATTTTTATTTATTAATTCATTTTTTAATGAAATATTTTTATTTTTTACTTTACTTTTAGGGGCTTTGGGGAAATATTAGGGGTCTAAACAGACCCCCGATATTTCCCTTTTAAAATAGAAAAAGGGATTGAGGGCACAGAGTCCTCAAACTCTTTTTCTGTATCCCCTGTTATCAATGAACAGGAATCCTCTATGAGTGTTCCTGTTCATTGATAACATGAGGACAGAGTATGTTTACTATAACCACAACTATGAATGAACAGGAGGTGTTGTAGATCACTCCCATTCATTCATAATTCAGGGTATAGTAAGCATGCCATGTCCTCAATTATCTACAAACACTCAACGATCAGGGATCGCTGAGTGTTTGTACTCACTCTCCTCTCTGACACGCTGTCACAGGAGGCTGAGCGAGTGGAGCAGGGAGGAGAGCCCAGCTTCCTGTGACAGCGTGGGCTGTCTCTGCCCCCACACCGCTCTGCCGGACTGTGATAGGCGGCTGAGCGGTGTGGGAGGAGAGACACCGGCCGCTCACATCGCTCTCCTCCCACAGCACTCGGCCGGCTGTCAATTTCTCTCCTCCCCGCTGGGACACAGAGCAGCGCCCAGCGGGGAGGAGAGAAACCTGGTATGCGCCGATGTATTGGCAGGAAAATGGCACTTTCGGCATTTAGCCAAAAGTGCCATTTTCGGCCGATATGTTTCGGCGGCCGATATATCGGTGCATCCCTAATATTTACATTTCCTTTAGTAATAAAAATGAGAAACGGTTAAAATATTACCTTCGATGCTAAAAATCCTTTCTCCCAAGGTTCCAGCTTTATCTAAAAGTGCAACTTCATCTGACACATTAAAGAAGAATTTCTCCTTGGGGTCACTGGCGATTCCTTTGATTTCATTAATGAGGTTTTTGCTGTCAATGCTGTATCTATTGTAATATCCTAATACCTTTAGGAAGTACAGACAAGAGAGAAACGTTTTGGTGAGAACAGCATTTGTTAGTATAATTCCAGGCCTTACATATCACTGAGGAGAAACGCAAATCACTAAATAAATTATCTAACCAATTATTAAGGAAGAATCAAGACCCCTAAATGTTTTATTCTGTAGTGACCCCTGACCCCCAAAAGCATGTGGTGTACCCCAGAGGTGTGGGGGGGGGGGCGAACATTTCGCTCTCAGGGGTGGATCCTTAGCAGGGTTGTGAGATATGAACAGTAAATCGGGTGCCAGTCACTTTAAGTACTTTTGAGATGCTTTATTATAGAACAGCCAAAATTAGAAGTGAGGGTATAGGGCTACCCCAAGAATAAACGCCAGACTAACCAATCCCTTCCAGCTTCCATAGTGCAGGAATATTTCAGTTGAGCAGAGCATGACACTGTGTAATAAAACCACAGCTGGATAGAGAATGTGCTTGAAATCTTCCCTGTAAGAGACACCAGACTTCTCCCTGGGGTCGCATGCTATCTTGGCCTACCTGGCACCTCCAGCAGTCAAACGACTTCTCTGGTTCTGCTTCACAGATAGTTCCAGACCCCCCTAGGTCCACACCTGGCCTCCTGCAGACCTGTGGTCTAGTCATCTTCTCCAACCAGTACATGATCCTACCCCCTGGTTAGGCCCAGGAGCGGACTGTCATGAACACATGGGAATTCCTGAGTATTTATTCACTTCCCCAGCATGCACTACTGGCCATGAAATGCCCAGTGATTGGCTGGGAAAGCATAGACACCCTCAGTGTTCTCCTATTAGCTGCCCCACTCTGTGGCAGGGTCACACCCCACTACAGGTAGGTTCAGATAATATCAGAACACCTAGGAATGACCAAATGATCACAGACTACAAATCAGCCAGACTGCTTACAGTTCTAGCAACACTAAATTTACAGAGCCACTCCACTTAGGGTGAAAGAGGCTACAATTCCTTTACTCCAAATGCCTACCTAGTGATCTGTACAGGTTGGATGAGTTCCTCATAGATTGTGAAAAGTGGTGTGAAGGAAATTGTAAGAGTTGGATGAAAAATTCCCAACCTTTCAAATGAATATTGCATAAGATATTGGTCTCCAAAGGTAATCAGTTGGTTTTACATCACACTGAAATGTTCATCTATTGAGCGAACATCATAATACACATTGCTACCGTAATCCAATTCAACTTTGAAAACTAATAGATAGATAGCATCTCTTAAAATGTGTATACATTTTTTGGCACCCCCTGTATAATATTATCATTTCAATTAGTTTATCATTAATGTAAAACAATTAGCACATAAGTAGTAATGTGACATCTTTCTTTGTAGACACCAGTAGAGAGAAGAACAGATTGGTGAAAATTGTGCAACCTCTCCTGCACATTGCTCTCTGAAAGTGGTCAATAGTCATCTCCGGTGTCCCATTGACAGACTAAAGCAACAAGTATCAGACAACAGTAACCTAAAGTCCAACTTGAATCTACAGTGGCAGTAAATCTGAACAGATTCATCTTCACTACCATGGAACCAATACTCAATACTTCATTGTTGTTCTTAGAGGTAAACAGGTAGTGGCGGGTGTGACAAATTCCTTTTAAGAGCTGTAGTTCTACCTATACAAATGTATACAATATACATACTGAACCACACAGACCCAATCAGCATATATCAAAATAAATAGAGATTTCTGAAATACCGCTATGCCAAATCGTGTAATCTTATCCTTTTCACAGCGCGTGATGACGTCCTTTAGTATTGCGTTGTCATGAGATTCACCATCGGTAATGACCACCATGACTTTGTTAGCATTGGGACGTCCTCCATATTCAGCAGAAAATGCAGACTGCCTAAAGAGAGAAATTATATATTTAGTTAGTGGTGATAGCTTCATCCAATGTAAAATGTACACAATGGGGTTGATTTACGAAAGTGGAGAGTTTTGACTTTGCAGAATGAATGTTTATTTAGCTTAATAGATAATATGAAACACATCAAACTTTAAATAGAAATTTGGGACATCAAACGTGAAACTAAAAAAAGTTTTATTCTAAAGTTTATACTAATAAAACACAATTTGTGCTCACTGAAAATGCATGCCAGTCCTCCTTTCAATAATAAACCATTTATTTCTCTGGGGCATTGATATTAAAGGGTATCTATGGTCAAAAAATTAAAAAAATTAAAAAAAATGTATGGCTATACTGAAATTCCCTAAGTTCTATCCCTCTCCTAATAACCATATCATTCTAGAAGTTTGTAAACTTACTTATTGAAGATGCACATATGATGTACTTCCTCAAGGCAATGGTACAATTTCACTCAGCCCTGTGAATATGTACTTACTTCTGTCACAACTCTCACCGAGCCTGCTTTCTGAAGTACAACTCAACATCTGAACAATGTAACATTATCATTGCTTGCTGGATGCAATGCATGATGGGATATGCAGTCTTGAGAAATGGAGATTGCATCACATCAAGCAGCAGGGAAAGAGGTGCAAAGCACATTGGGAATCCAGAAAGTTGTTGAAAGTGATGGGCAGACAAAAGGCAGCACTCATTACAGAAAAGGGATTTTTTCAAGTAAGCTTTGATTGTATTATCAAAAACAACTCTAGTATGTATTCCTAATACAATGCTGATGTTATAACAGGATAGTATACGCTGGGACTTTACAACTCCTTTTACTTGTGTTTATTCATTGTCATACACCGGTAAGGCACTCCACAACCTGATCAAAGGGAGTGTCTGTTATTGATCATTGCATTCCTAATGACACCAAATTTCACATTGCCCTTTGTACATAAAGATTTTTCAGTGATAACCATAACAGGAAAAATAAAACAAGACACATATTTCAGAATATATATTTGACATAATAGGATAATACCACTGTATATCCTTATCATCCTGGGAAGCTGTACAAAGGGCATACATATAAATGTAAACAGAGGAACCAAGCAATTACTGTCACCTTAATGGGCAATCCTTGAGTTATGATTTTACAGGAGAACTTTGATGTACTGTAGAATGTTAATGAGAGAAAAACATGAACATACCCCCATAAAACGCAAGAAATCTTTACAAGCGTGTATTTCAGGTCAAATGTTACCAACTTCTACAATAGTAAATTACACAACAAAATAAAGCCCAAACACATGCACATATAGTACAGAGGGCTTACAGAAAATTGGCTGTATTTTAAAGAGAAAACTTAGTTTTATATATAAGAATGCTGTCCTATCTGCTTCTGTTCCAGGAAATATTGTTAACAACTAGGGATGTATCGATGCTGGTTTTTCGGTGTCGAGTACGAGTACCGATATTTATATTGCGGTATTTGCCGATACTGAGTACCGATACCGATACTTCAGCTACGAAAAAAACAATACCGGCGCCTCTGGTTGCAAGATGGGCTGGTTGTGAAGTTGGCTTAAACACTCAAAAGGCAGCTCTCACTGGTCAAAAAGACCATCGATCTAGGAAACAAGGGACAAGACAGAGCGCCTCCATAGTGTAAAAGTGTAATTTATCTGTACAACACGCAAATAAAAATGTACTTACAGTAAGTACATTTTTATTTGCGTGTTGTACAAATAAATTACACTTTTACACTATGGAGGCGCTCTGTCTTGTCCCTTGTTCCCCGATACTTCAGCTAGCATGGAGGCGACTTCCCAACCAATCAGCATCTAGCCGGTGAACAGCATGGAGTCGGCTTTCCAGCCAATCAGGAAGCCGGATGGCGAGTCATTACCCGCTGCACAGCTTTCTAATGGGCCGGAAAGCCAGCTCCATGTTCCCTCGTGGCACTGCTGGTCAGAGGAAATCTCCCTCTGACCGGATGTTTCGGTATCGGGGTAAGTATCAGAGCATTTGGGCCAGTACTCACCCAAATACTCAGTATCAGCACTGATACTGATACTAGTATCGGTATAGATGCATCCCAAGAACAACCTTTATGAAATTCAAGCTGTAGGTAGTGCTGTTGATGCCCCTACATTTGGCAAAAGTTGATTTTCCAGTCGACGTTTGTAGAAAGAGCTGGCTTAAAAAATGTTGGAAAGACAGTCGATCATCTGCAGTCACTATTTGGGTATTCTGACAGCAGCACACCCGTTGCTGTCAGAATGCAATAGCCTTGTAGGGGAGTTTCCCTATCTATGCTGTTTAACAAGGATATGGAAATCGAAAAGACAAAAAAAAATATATGCCCAGCTTTAGGAAACGGAAATAAGCACAAAGGTAGTAAAAAAAAGCACAAAGCTGCATGAAAAGCTCATTATTACATATAATATAACCTTCATCAACCACAGAAATGACTGCAGGTCAATACACAGTTGTCATACCTGGTGAAGTCAATTGCTTTGAAGGTGTTTGTCTGGTCTCCTCCCATTTGAGAGGTACCAGATATAGCTTTCATCATATCTTCTTTATTGGTGTAGCGGTTCATTCTAAACATCACACTTGGAAAATTTCCATACTGTATCAGACTCACCTGCAAACATCAGACGCAACTGTCAGAAGTTCAGCACATATGAGAATGTTTGCTATTCATACTAATAAAATGTTGTTGACACAAATAATCTGATCAATATAGCAGTGGCATCACAATGAGGGTTAGGCCCGAACCTGGGTGCTACCATTGGAGGGGTGACACCAAAATGAATGACAGTCATTTTGGTGTCACCCCCTCTGAAAAGTCGGGTACTGGGCACCTCCCAGAAATGAGAAGGGCACCTCCCTGAAAAGACTTATTTCAGGTTGGGATCCCTGTTTTACCCCAGTAACTTTCAGCACCATCATTTAACAAAAGACTGTTCCTATGTTCCAAGAGACTGCCCCAGATGTTACAAGAGACTGTCAGGTACTTTTGTTATGTTTAAGAGATTGCCAGAGTCTGCCCCGTATCTTAATGTAATTATGTTGTAAAATTGTTGTGGGGTACAAACAATACCAGCATAAGGCCAAAGTCTTACCATATATGATGTAAAAACTACAAAACCTTTGGGCCTAAACAAGTTTGCGAAATCATAACTGACCTCCGTGATGGCGCAGAGATAGAGTGAGGATGAAGGTCTTTGGAGTGGGGACTTTTATAGACAAAAATAGAAAAAACATACATACAATATTGCCACTTTAATTAAAAATCTACTTTGTTCCTTCAAATCACACCCTACCGACCCAAACTGTCTTCTGATGTAAACGCTCAGGGTTCTATGAGCTTTCTTAGAGCAGGAAAGAAAATATTGTGAGTGGGGGTGGTAGGCTGAGAAGGCAGAGTCATCGCTTCCCAAACCAAAACCTGAAAGGGTTACGTCACACAAAAGTAATATTTCAGTTATAAATAACCCTGACTTTGTGTATTTCTTTAGTACTCTCAGGGGGAGATCTTCCTATTCCTGACCACATTGGGATGGTCCCAATTTTACATGCTCTGTAATATAAAGTAACTTATGTACCCAGCATGAAGGGTGTCAGCCAACTGTCACTTTCCAGTATGTGGCTATATTATTTCCCCACCTGAGTGGAACTTACAGTGACCCTCAATTTAGGAGTTAAATCTTAAAAATACATTCAAGTTCCTTAACTATTAATACAAATGTATCTTATTTGTGTATCACTCGGCGGTAGATCCTCAAATCATCTCTGAATTGGCATTGACACTGTCATTCCTTCTGGAGTGTGGCTTCTTTTGTTCCCCATGGTCCCTCTGTGTGGTTTAAAGTAGTCACTGCTCCAAGCTCACTTCTGTGATGGACTACAATCTCATGTGTTTAGTTTACTCATTTGTATTGAGATTGCAGTCCATCACGGGAGCGAGCTTGGAGCGGTGACTACTTTACAACACACACAGGGACCATGGGGAACAAAAGTAGCCACCCTCCAGAAGGAAGGACAGTGTCAGCACCAATTCAGAGATGATTTGAGGATCTACAGCTGAGTGATACACAAATAAAATACATTTAAAAAAAAAAAGTTAAGGTAACTGAATTCATTTTTGAGTTTTAATTCCTGAGTTTAGTGTCACTTTAATGAACGATATCCCCATTGTATGGATACAATACCTAACATTCCATCTCCAGGTCAAACCATCCATGTGCCTGACACTGCTAGTAATTTACAGCCTTTATAATGCTACTCTCTCCAGTCCACGGCGATCGTCCTTGGAAATAATTTATTCATGACTTGCAGTTTTGCTGCTGCCTTCAGACTTTTTTGATTAAGATGTCTTATTTTCTAAATGTTTTATAGTAATTAGGTATGGATGATGGCACCTGCTGAACAAAGTTGTTTCCTCATTCATTTTGTACCATGATACAGTACAGTGCAGAATATAGGTGTCACATAGAAAATATTAGACAGTTATAATTACCTGAGTCTTTGTAGGTCCAACATCTAAACCCTCAACAAACTTCTCCAAAAAGTTTCGAACTGCTGACCATGGATAAATGCTGTTTGATCCATCACATACAATAGCGATATCAATTTCTGATGTGCATGCTGGAAAACAAAAAAAAGACAAATAGAAATATGTGGACAATGTAACAAAACTCGGATTGAGCAAATATCTAAACAGTTTCAGCAGAGTGAGATATCCAGGAGGCTGCACTACTACCTTCATGCTTATTTAGTAAACCACGGGGATAGTGCAATTGGTTAAAGTTGTGCACCTACCTGTCAAAAGGGAGGGTGCACTTATAAGCAACTGAGTGTGATGAGGCCGTTACAGTACAGGCAATGGAAATGGGGCAGTTTTTCTCTGTCTATTACATTATACTTTGATGTCAATCGAAGGGATGAAGAGGCCAAAGCTGTTATCTTGCCTAGGGTCCTATTCTACCTTTATCCATCTCTACGTTTTAGCAAAGACATCCCCTTTCAACCCATCAGCATGCTTTACAGTGCTTTGCTAGTGGCCAAACTAGCGGAAGATGAAACATGATTGCCAGTAATGCTGTTTTTATCTGATAAGTGCTGCAGGAAGGGTTGATATACCCTTTGCTGGCAGTACATAGGAGGGTCACATCATGTCTCTCTCACTCAAAGCAGCAGCTCAGCTTTCCAATGGTCTGGCATGTCTCTCAAACACTGCTCTAATCAACAAAGGTGATCTGGGGGCAGGGTGCATGTTGGACCACTGAAGATATGTATGACTGTATATGCAGCAGGGCTGTATTTCTGTAGAAAATAGCAAGGTGGGGGTACAACTGGGCCATAAGATGTATGAACATGTGGAGCAATTGCAAAGCGTTCATTGACTCACAATATTTGTAAAGCTTAGTTGACATGGATAACAAATTATTCTGGGTGTCTGATTATGCCCATGTAGGTATCCTCCCTACATGGGCGTCCCTAGTTTATTTTGTGTCTGTTAGATACAACGAGGCTGTACCCAGTCTGACTTTTGTTTAATTTTCTATACTCTGTTGTTGTTCCTAAACCCAAGTCATTGATTGCTTCTGTCTGCTTCTGTTGAGGAGGCTCCAGTAGTCAAATTGGGAAGGGTCAGTGAATATGTGATGAATATGTATCCTTTCCAGCCAATCAGTTAGGAGTTTGCTCAGTTGTGTGGTACATAATTAGAGGGACCTTCCAGGGTGTTCTTTCCTCCCCAGGGCTCTTCTTTGGTGGAGCTGAATTTGGAAAGTTCCTGGACTGTTAAGTCTTTGCTTTTCTAGACTGTTCAGCATAAGCTGGGCACTCTGCACACTCTGTGCATATTGAATACTGAAGAGACAAAAAATTCACATGTAGCTGTCCACATAGGGTAAGTGGAGCCTAATTGGCCTTATGTGGAAAGCACGTACTAGAACCTTCATGCTGATCTGTAGATTGGAATGTCTGCTCATTCACACGCTGTTATCAATAAGAAAACCTGGGTGGCTGCTGTACAGAGACGTTACTTTTGTGTTTTTAGGTATCATGTTTCCTTCACCCTCTATCCCTTGTTTCTGTTGAGCAATACAACCAAAAAACCTAAATAAAATCAAAGTAGCCAATAAGTGTTATCCCATTGGAAGCCAAGGATCCAGACATGAGAATGGAATGTGCCAAGGAGCTTAATTGAAGTAAATGGACTGGGGCATGTCAAGTGTATTCCCATGAGCCCACTTGGGGGTCATCTCACATGACAATGGCAATTTCCTCAATAATAGTAATGTTTTACAATGTTATACTTACTCTGAAGAGCAGGAGAAAAGCTTCTGAGGACCTGGAATGTTGGGCTTATATCAGAGCACATTCCTGTTGCATAAAAATTATTTCCACATTGCTGGGCCCATAATGGGCCACATGTCTGCAAAAAAACAGAACATATTATTGTTAATATAATTAGAATAATAAATATTATTACTATTCAGGAATTATATAGCACCAACAGTTGGTGCAACGCTTTGCAAAATGGAGGGAGACAGTTCAGTTATAATACAATTTCAGTACAATAGAGTTAGGAGGGCCCTGCTCATGAATGCTTACAATCTAGTAGGAGGGGCAAGTGATACAAAAGGTAATTATTGAGTGGGATGAGCTAATGGAAGAAGTAAAAGGGCAGTTATTATGTTGCGGTGGGATAGGCTTCGCCAAAGAGAAGAATTTTGAAGGATTAGCTAATGGTGGAGAGTAGAAGATAAGCAGACAGACAGGGGTAGGAAGTTCCGAAGGATGGGAGAGGCTCTGAAGAAGTCCTGTAGGTGAGCATGGGAGCAGGTGATAAGGCGAGCTGGAGAGCAGGTCTTGAGTTAGGCAGAGAAGACAGTTTTGGTGATATTTTGAGATGAGGTGGGTGATGTACTTTGGGGCAGAATTGTAGATGGCTTTGTCTGTTATTGTTAGTATTTTGAATTTTATTCATAGAGCAAGTTGGAGCCAATGGAGAGATTGGCAGAGAGGGGTGGCGGACAATGACCGGTTGGTAAGGTGGATGAGTATGGCAGCAGCACCTGAAGGGGGGGGGGGGTAGCCTGTGTAGTGGAAGGCCAATAAGGAGGGAGTTACAGTAGTCACGGTTAGAAATTACAAGGGAGTGAATAGAGACAGCAAGATTTGGATAGTGTTTGGATGTGGTGCTGAAAGGAGAGATGATATTTAAAGGAGAACTATGAAGTGAGTGATTTTCACTCAATCTCATAGTTCGAGCCGATGTGTGACAATGAATCTATCACACGTCGGCTCAATAGAACGGTAAGTGAGCGAAGGCATACCGTCGCTCGCTCACTTCTCGATCATGTCCCTGCAGAGAGCCGTGACTGTCACCCACGGCTCCCTGCAGGGATTCCCCCTCCCCGCTCCGATCCTCCAGCGCTGACTGGTGGAACGGACGGGGGAGGGGATGGGTACCGCTGGCTCTGCCTCTAGATAAGTAGAGCCAGCTGTCAATCACACAGCTGGGTGGATCTCGACAGTAATGTCGGGATCAGTCCCGGCTGCGGCAGGCTCAGTATACCGTGAGCTGTAGCTCGCGATATACTGAGCTTTGGGTCACGGGAGGATGCTAGTTTATGTCCTCCCGTGACCCTTAGGAGACCTATGGGGAAAAACACTTACCCCATAGTTCTCCTTTAAGGATTACACCAGGTACCCTGGCTTGACGGGAGGGGTTGATCTGTAGATCGTGATGGAGAAGTCAGGGTAGGGGACATGGAGAGGCGGAAATATTACAAGCTCAGTTTTGGACAGGTTGAATTTGAGGAAGTGGTAAAAACCTTCAACAGAACATTTTCATCCCAAATAGAATGTGTAATTCAAAGTCTGTTGCTATTAACATATCCAGTAAGTAGATCTGTATTTATCAGAAACTTTTATCTTTGTAAAAACATGTTTTCAGGAGAAAAACAACACATCCATGGGCCATAAGGTTTTCACTTTATGCTTTTCAGCTAGGTACACATGGAAATTTTTTAATTTCAGCACAACTACAAAGAACATCATGGTCAGTAGGTATTTACTATGCATTTAGTAAAGATCTGCAGGGCTCAGTGTTAGACCATTCATCGTACTAGTTCCAATTTTTATTTTTTTTAATCTATTGATAGTTATTAGAGAGACTGCATGTATGTCCTTATTTTGTATACATTTTTGCTTTCATTATCATGTTTTGATCTATTGTATATTATCTTTGTTAATTTGAGTCCTCAAAGTCAGTTTTTTTGCAGTGTGTTGCAAAACTTTAAAGCAGATTCAAGGAAGGCTCCTGCTGTACTGGCATCAGAAGTTAGGAAGTCTTATTGCACAGTGACGCTGATAGATGAGAGCTTGGCCCTGCCAACAATGGGAGATCTTGATACATACTCACACTAGGTAATCTTATATAGCTGGGACGTCTATCACAATTAAGTCTCTGGCAGCTAGAGGAACTTGCAGCATAGTGGCTCTGGGGGTCCATATGCATACTAACAATAGGAACTGTGGGATCTACCTACGGGATCTATCTATCTGACACAGAATATGGCAATATGTGAATGCTGACACTGGGAAATAGGATAAAATGTTGCAGACTAGCATAGGAAGCCAGGGGGTTTGTTGTATCATGTCAGTAGAAGCTTGGATGTTTTACTACATGTTGCCAGTTAGGTTTTAGATTGTAAGCCCTCAGGGGCAGGGCCCTCCTTACCATCTTGTTTTGAATTGTATTGTGATTGTAATGTCTTCCTTACATTATAAAGAGCTAGGCAAACTGTTGGCGCTGTATAAATCTTGTATAATAATACTAACGAGAATGAATGGACCTTTTGTGTGAACATATATATAACATCTTTTCAGAAACAGTATAGAACCCATCTCCTGAAAATTTGTATACAGACTATCCATATCAAAGTGTTAGATACCATAACAATGATGCCTCCAGTACATGTACATGCATGTTCCATACAATCATTTAATCATCTTGAAAAGTAAAAAAGGGCCCCAAAAATTCAGTTTTACAGATCCATTTTTTGGGCATGTTCATCTGCAAAATATATTTTTTATGAGCAATCTTTTTTAGAATCTCCCTTTTGTCTCATGATCACCCATTACTTCAGGGTATTGTCATATGTCTATGAGCAGCCTGGAACCTGAAAGAATTTGCTGCATTCTAACAATTTTGCTACAGATGGGTCCAAGGCTCTCCCTATAATGAGGCAGCTAGAGGTGGTTGCCTCAGGAGGCATCTCGTTGGGTCATGTGGGGCCTTTCCATCCAGAGTGTCCCAGGTTGCTTAGAGCTCTTAGCAACCTGTGACGCTCTGGCCGGCCTCCCCCCCCCCCCCCCCCGTCCCCCCCCCCCCCCCCCCAGCTCCTCAACATCACAGGTTGCCAAGAGCTGAGTGGGACACCAGTGCCACAACCACCATCCTCCCAGTTCGCCCATGCACTGATGACCCAACATCCAACCCCCCTAAAATGTGCACCACAAGCAATCCCTCCCACCTCAGCAGTGAAAAGTGTAGGGACAGCCCTGAATGGGTCATGTGCTGGATGTGATGCACAAAGAATGGGGCCTTTGAAGACATCTGACTATAATAGCAGCAGTCTGAAATACTGGCCATGGAATTTCATCTACTAAATCATGTGAGGAAACAGCTGGCTCATTAAATATGTTGGATACAGAATCACCAGCAGGCCTGGCAAGCATTGGGTTACACACTATATGTCATGTATTTGTTTCAGTGATGTATATTGTTCTTTCATTGTTTGTGAGTTGCTCGTAACCCTTCAGAAATGCATTGTTTTTCATTTGATTGACTTATAGCTTTGCATGAATAAAATGTCAAAATCACCGCAAGCACTGCAATTTATTGACCAAAACAATGGCCAGTGACAACTAATACAAACTTTTCCTGAACTTACTAAGAATCCACCAGTATTTTCATTTCTTATCAGTGTTAGGCCAAGGTTCATTTGTTCCTTCACTTCAGTTACATTTGGGATAATACTGGCACCTAAAGGAAACAAGTAAAATGATTAGTAGGGGGGTCATTCCATCCAAAAGCAAAATTTCAGTTATAAATGGAATCTAGTGGGTTGAATCACATGCCACCCTCTTATGTCTCTTGAGGAGTTCATTGTTAAAATATCAGTGCATTAGCTCCCATCATTGGCTCATTTACCTTAAAGAGGAACTTTACCCTTTTCTTTAAAATAACAACAAAGACAGTTTAGTAATGACAATCTACAAACAGATACTTATAGATAATTGTCAGCTTTTTATTCTGTGCATTCCTTATTTTTCTTTTATTTCCCATTCTTCTCACAGTGGCCATCTTTACTAAGGGCAGATGAATCCATATCCCTTTACTTCCTGGGACTCTGGCACATGTGACATGTGGCCATGCACATCATCTCATGCAGGGGTAGCCAAACTCCGGCCCTCCAGCTGTGGTGAAACTACAAATCCTATGATGCATCTCTCTCCGGGAGTTATGTCTGTGGCTGTAAGAATCTTGCAATGCCTTATGGGATTTGTAGTTCCACCACAGCTGGAGGGCCGGAGTTTGGCCACCCCTGATCTCATGGGAGGAAAATGCCTTTCCCTGAGATCTCGTGATATTGTAGATGAGATTTCCCAGCAATGCTCTACTTATGTAACCTTGGGCACAATTATATCACTAATGTCCAAGAGGACCAGGAAGTGGAAAAACAATATCTGTAAGTAAAAGGAAAATATGTCTGTTTTTAACTAATGAATGTAAGATGATTTTGTATCAGCATGCAAAGCAGCATGCTGATGTGATTTGTTGTGAAAGGGGGTAAAGGTCCACTTTAAAGTGTATGTCAAGCCAAAGTCTTCTTCTTTATAGTTTTGAATAGAGTGGAGAAGGATTACAATTCCTGTTTGGTTTTTACTGCTATCCAGGGCTCCGATAGAGAGATATTTACCCTCGCTTCCTGTCCTGCTGACAATGAGTTCATTGGGAAAAATCTATCTCAGGGACACAGACTGACATAAAAATCGGTCAGGGGTTCTAGCCTGCTTTTCCCTCTCCTAGTCTGAACTCTGCAGTACAAGGGATTGCAAGAAGCAGATACCAAGTGCAATTCAGAATGCATTTCTTGCATTCAAAAAATACATTTAATTATTACAAAAGCTGCATTTTTATCTTTCATAGCTGCCTGGAGTTTCGCTTGAACTCCCCAACCACTACCTAAAAATAAAATATATGTTTTGGGTGGAAGCATTGTGACCACATGGACCTGCTACTGGTAGTCCTATGGAGCGCTGTGTATAGGAAGCCTAGGGGCTGATCGTTTCAGCCCCTGGGCTTAGCCTTGGATCTTGGTCCAGACGGTGGTTGCCGCACTAGTGCCAGCTAGGACCTAAGAGAACCACTGACTCTGGGCACTATCCCAGTCTCGTTTTAAAATGACGACCAGGACTCAACTGGTTAAAGTGGAACTAACCCCCTACCAAAAAAAAAACAACCTGCAATAGAGCTTTTTGCAGAAGATATCTTGCATGCCTCTCCTTTTTTGTGTGTATGGATGTGTGTAAGATGCCAAGAATGGAGCTAGGTGTTGGCACAATGTAACTCCAGCATTCCCCAGCTAGTGCTAATAAGATATGTTGGGTTAGTGGGCTTGAATGGAAATACTCCTCTATTAAGAACCCCATCGGAGTGGAACTTGCTGCCAGTGACACGTGCTGGGCATTATAAAGCAATCTGCTCCTCATTCAGACCTCTGATTACAGTATCTGTTTTCTTGCAGCTCTGAGATGTCATGTGAATGAATGCTGAGCACCTCAAGGGAAGCTCATGTTGGAAGATGTGAAAAGGTGTTTCACAACAAACCATGTCCTTTAGGAACACCTACCTTTCACCATGCCCACCAAAAAGTGGCAGTGGCATAACACAGTTTACATGGTATACTTTCTGTGGCCTTCAGACATCTGTCTCTAACATAAAAATGGATATGTGGTCATGTTTATCCATTGGACAAAAGGTTCCCATTCCTACCATAGCACATGTGCAGTAGTTACATGTTCACAGACTGCCCAATGGACAAATACAGAAGATCCTATACAGAAGAAGCAGCACCATGATTTTGAAGATGACCATGATTTTGGACAAAGGGGTGATGGGAAGTGCAAGTATTGCACATTATGGGAAGAGGTGCTGCTCAGGCACTTTACAGGTCCACTTTAATTTTGTAGCCTCTGACCACTCTCCAAATGTCCTTCTAACCTGTGATGCCTAGAAATGTATTCACAGAAAAGCCCACAGCACATTCTACAATGCACTAAATAAGTTGAGCATGTTGTTTAGCAACAGAAAACATTTAAATGACATTTAGATAAAGATATGTATACAAGAGGAACTCTTGGGTTCATATGGGAAATGGTGGGTTGGATGCTAAAGAAGATAATGAAGACTTACTTGCCAAGCTCAGTTTACTGCATGGTGGTGATAATAGACCGACTTGACATTTGTAGACATCCCCCATCCGGTTCTTAGGAAATCCACTCCAAGGGGAGCTAACCAGCAGCCTGAACAGAGAGAAAATAGAGTTAGCTGTTCATTAAAGAACTCAGGGCATGTAAAAAATATAACCGTTGCACTGGGGCTACTCCTGCACTGCAAGGGTTAGGTGCTAGTTTTGGTCTGGGGTCTAAAATAAAGAAGATACTCTCACCTGATCCTCAGTCCCGCGGCGGTGAACCCTCACCTCTTGCCGCTCCGGCTGTGGAATATCCCCTGGTGTCCTCACGTCCAGTGTGTCAAGGAACGTGATGATGTCAAGATAAGATCCTTAGGGCCCAGTCACACCATCAAGAGTGCGTTCGGCCACTGGAACGCAACCCGGCCGGCTCACTTTGTTTTGGGGCGGGAGGGAGCGTGGCGGTACATAGAACTCAATGGCACCGCAGCCACGCCCCCCGGCCGTGGTGCGATCACCAGCACCCGAACGCATGGCACATTAGTCCCTGCATTCCGGTCCAGTGTGATCTGCAAAAAAAAGTTCATGCAGCATTTTTTGCACTGTACCTGATCCATCCTGTCAGAGTACGAGTACGGACACCCGCACCCGCACGGACACCCGCATACTCTCATAGAGAAGGACAGGCTGCTGCACCTGTCCTTCCCGGGAGCGGCCCGATATGGCCATGCACGCAGCATGGATCTGTACAGGCCGGCCGTTTCTCATGTGAATGAGGGCTAAATCTGGCCCTACTTCTTCTGGCCCCTACGTCATTACTATGTCCTGCAAAGAACTAATTTATAAATGTAAGCTGCAACCTTTCTGCAGCCTTTATTCATACATAACCACTATCAGTGATCCGGAGATACAGCTGAGATCCTGATTCACAGCTGTCAATGATCCTGGACTGACTCTTTTCGAATCCAATCGCGTTTTCCTCCGATATTCCTAAGGTTAATGGGCAGTATACAACAGCAAATACTGTACAATCGATGGACTTTTGACTATCCAGCAGGTTAGAAAACGTCGGTCGATCGTATGATTTTTGCAAGGTTGGTGGCGTTTCCATACGTCAAAATTAGTACGATTAAAACTGCTCATGTGCAAACAAAAATATGTGCGGTCGATTACCGCAATTCGTCCAGGTGTTTTTTTTTTATACAGCTGATTGAACCTTGTAAAAATCGGGGCAGGATGGGGCCGCCGTACGGAAATCATACGACAGTTCGATCATCGGACGAAAAGTTTTGTCCGATGATTGCAAAGTGTATGGGCAGCTTAAGAAATATGTAGGATTGGGTTTTCACTTTGACAGCCATGTCACAACCTTAATGAGAGATAGAAATATGAAGAGCAGGACTAGTGTGCCATACAACATAGGAATTTTGGACCCTATAATAAGGAAATATATGAATTTCAACAATCCGTAGCAAGTGACCAGAATTCCTCTTCTGCATTTTCTACAGTAAATAGAAATAATTGGTTGCTATAGGTTGTACGCTGTACAAGTTACTGCTTTGTAGAGTTAAAGGCACATAGATATCCTCACACAGAAATCCATATTATCCATAGCACAGCCTCTGTTTGGTCCCACAACACTAGTAGTGAGATCAACATTGCCATGTCTTTCTATACATGTGTCAAGAGTTTTTACGAAAGCGACCAAATGGAAAACAGCTGAACCCAATAACATTTTATGTGTTTTTCAGATGAAAGCCCCTGCAGACTTTACTGTAAGTTAAAAACACCCAGACTTTGTTTAACAGTCACTTCAATGAGAAAGTCCCTTAAAATGTCACAGGAAAATGTCTATAGGACATAAAGTAATATTCTTGCCTGGGGAGGTTTGTTTCAGTACCTTAGACTCTGGCTATGGTCAGGAAATGGTAATATCTTTATAAAGCAAATCCGCCATCTACAAAGTGCTCTATTGCAGCTCAGCAACTCTTACTCCATGAGTAACAAGAAGGGGAAGTAGTTTTGCCCCTGAAACGCGTTGAATGTTTCAAAATGACCTATTTTTCAGGGGGGCTCCTGATGTGAAGGACGATTCTAATTTAAAGGGGGGCTCCTGATGTAAAGTGGAACTATAATGTGAAGGTGGGCCCTTGATTTGAAAGGGGAATGTCACTTTTTTGTGTGTCTGCATAGGGTCCCCTCCATTACATTTTAGACTGGGGTACCTTCAGATTTTGCACACTTTTAAAGGGTGACATGACTGAACAAGGTTGAGGAACACTGTTGTCGTGCAAGTAATGAATGCAAGCATTTCTAACAACCAGTGACAGATCTAAGGTTTTTTTGCCAGCTGATATGGGCTAAAGGTTTATAGTAAATTGTCAGACTGAACACACCTTCACGTATCTATTATAAAATGATCAGTCCACCCAAACAAGATACTTCTGTTATAGATAGAGAACTTGGCTCAGCTCCTGGCTTCTTAGGCCTTGGGTACTCTAGAAGAGAGATCTTCATACCATAGCTCGCGACTATGTTGCTGTCCACCTGGAAGTTCTGGATTTTCCATTCACTTTGCATGTTTAAGCTCATCTTGCGGCAATCTCCATAATGTAAACTATATTATAAATCCAGCAGGGAGGATGGCTTGTAATGGCTTCACTAGATGTGCATACCCACTTCCTCAACTGCAGAGACCCCACCAATAGAGTCCCAGAGAGATGTAGTAAATAATTACATTAATTATCAGTTTGGGACATGCTAAAAGGGTAATTGGCTCACGTGTAAATCGGCCCTAGTTAGTATATGTGTGGTGCACATGATATAGGGGCCTTAGATTGTAAGCTCTCTGAAGGGCAGCCATTGATGTGAATATGTAGTATGTACAGTGCTGTGTAAATTGGCAGCGCTGTATAAATACCTGTATTAAATAAACAAATACGAAAAAAGGTTGTTGTAGACCTCTCACTACTCTCTCATGTCTGCGGACCTGGAAACCCATCTCATCAGTCAGTTTTGTACAGAACAACTCTTTAAAAACATTTACCCATCATTTTAGGTATTATAAGGACCATGTCATTATGTTTAAATTTCTATTTTATATTATAGCCATGCATTTTTCTGCTGTCCGTAATTCTTTTTCTCTATGCTGTGTAAATTAGTATGTTAGAAGTAATTACCGTACACTGTACATGAGAACACTTGTTATGGACATATCTAATAGGTGCTTTATGTTTATGACATTTTATAATTATAATATTGCTCCAGTTTTATGCTCAGAACATGCTTATTATGAGAAAACAGGTTTTAAAAAGATTAGGAAAGAAGGAAGTTTTTAACCAATATTTAACCACTTGCTGACCGGGGTGTTTATATCCCATTCCTGCTCAGGCCATTTTTCAGTATTCAGCGCTGCGGTACTTTGGCTGACATTTATTCCGTCATGCAGCGCTGTACTTAAATGAATTTTATAAAACATTTTGGGGACAGATAGAGCTTTCTTTTGGTGGTATTTAATCACCACTACAGGTTTTTTTTCCCCCTACGTTATGTTATAAAACATTTATTATTACCCAATTTTTTGGTAAAATATAAAAGACGGGGTCACGTCGGGTAAATAGACACCAAACATGTCAAGCTTTAAAATTGCGCGCACCCGCTAAATCTCAAAAAACGACCATACCCAAAATTGACCATAGCCGACGCTTTAAAAGCTTTTACCGCTCAGTTTAGTGTTATCAGTGATTAATGGCCCTAGAATTATTGCTCTCACTCCGACGTTCGCCGCGATATGTAACATATGCGGCGCAATAGATGTAATCGTCGTTTTCACACGTAGGTGGACTTGACGCATGTTGGCGTGTGCATGGGGGGGCGGGGGACTTTAATTTTTTTTTATTGCTTTGATAGGTGACTTTTAATTTTTTAATTTTTTTTGTAACTTTAATTTTTTTTAAACCTTTTTTTTCACTTAACTTTATTGCTATCACATAGGGAGCAAACAAGCTCCCTATGTGATAGCCAATTGGCAGTGACAGGTCCTCTTTATGGAGACATCAGGGGTCTTTAAGACCCCTAATGTCACCTAGGGACCCCCAGAGAAGCTGATGAAGCAGAGACCTGCTTCACCAGCTTCTCTCCGGTTTCTGTACCGGAGAGTGACAGAGGAATGCGGAAGTGATGTAATACACATCACTTACTGCATTCCGACGCGGAGGAGATCAAACGGAGATCGTGTACTGCAGAGCTGCTGTGCTGGTTCCGGGCTCACACCGGGCACAGCGGAGCTTTTGATTGCCAGCAGCGGCTGCGACAGAGGGGGCGCACACCCGCAGGCATATTACAAGCGATCGGGGCGTCTCTACAGAAGCCTGAACGCTTGTATGTAAGCAGCCATGACTAGCTGTTTAAATTCAAAGCCGATTTCCGTTTAAAAACGCCCACCCACATTTAAGAAGCAGCTGTACGGCCATTTAATTACAACGGCCAGACAGCATGTGGTTAAACAAAATTATTGCATGCCCTGTGTTCTGGCCAGGACACTACCTGCAAGGAGTTTTCATGTTCTCTCTGTGCTTGCATGGGTTTCCTCTAGGTACATGCTGGTAGGTTAATTGGCTCCTGTCTACACTGGCCCTAGCATGTGTGTATGTTTTGTGTGTGTGTCTTCTAAGGAACCTTAGATTGTAAGCTCTTTGTGAGCGGGGGCTGATATGAATGTACATGTAAAGCGCTGTGTAAATTGAGAGCACTACACAAATGTTTGTAATGGAATACGTTGTAAATAAATAAGACCAGTTTGATATAAATATTGTTACCAATATGTTATTGGTTTAAACATTTTGTGTAACAATATACAGCATGTATGTGGGGCTGACACATTCATTCATATGTTCTTTCTGTGTTGTAGTGCTACACAACAGTTCCCCATTGGTAGCTAGGATGCCCATGGCTGGGCCGTACAGCTTTATTGGTTGTTAGTACACAGGCTAGCAATGCAACAAGGGGGCTAGTTGTTTGGCCTGGGAATATCTATGCATTGTGTCTTACCAGTTTCCCTCTGAATTCTTGAATTGTTGAATGGCATAACCAAACTGTACATCTTTTGGACCGGAAAGTACTTTGTTACCGGAGAGCCCAACATTGAATGGCATGCAGAATTTCAGCAGAATGCCTGCAAGAAAAAAATTGAAATATTGAATATATTATGTAACACATATGACCTACATTTTATATGCAGGTTGTTCACCCAGGGCTGCTGCACCTTCCTTGGGCTGTATAAAGATTTTTCAGCAAAATCAGGTAAATGTGGCACCTTATACAAGTCATGGGAACCATTATTTGGCTGTGAGCAACATGATCATAGGGAAGCTCTGGTGATATTTGATTGCCCAGCAGTTTGATACACAGACATAATTATCATTAACACACATATATATAAATTAACACACATATATCACATATTTTTAAAGGGTGCAATGACTAAAAAAGGTTTAGAAATGCTGGTCTAGACACATAATGATGACACATATTGATGGGTTAAATGGTGTCTGTCTAAATTGACCCAAGATATGTGGTTATAGAGCAATTTTAGAAGCAACAGGAAGTATTGTAATGAGGCAGTGTGTAAAGTTGAGTAAGTCCATTGGACGAAACGCGTAGGGGAGGAGCTACACACTGACACTAGTGAATCCAGTGGAGGAGACAGAGCTGAGCTCATACAAGCCGATTTTATGTTTTTACAGCGCTGAAATACTCTTTTAAATGTAAGTGTTCTGATTTTTATAAATAAACTATCATCTAGCAGTTTTACACTATGTGCCATCTTGGTTTTCTATTTTGAGCGGATAAGAGAGATTTGGGAGAGACATCGGGCAGACTCATCATTTTCAGCTGTTGGTGATTCAGTGGTGAGGGAGACAACGGACACCAGAGAATTTTGCAGAGCGTTTGAAGACCACTGGGTGGTCAGAATTATCTGGTGAGTGTGATAGTGTTTGTGCACCTGGAGGTGGATCACTGGTGTGTAAAGTGGAACTGAATTAAAAAAATTAAGAAGGCAACATCTAGAAATGTTAAGTGTGCCTAAGAAGTACCCCGAAAAATTTACATTTTTGTCTCCAATGCTTCCTGGAAAACAGCAGAGCACTTCCTAGCATGTGAAGGTGCCTAGGCACTCCTCTGCTCTGATAAGTAGTATCCTGAAAAATATACCATTTATTATAAATTCCTACTGAAGAATAGCAGTGCACTTCCTGTACCTAGACACTCCTGTTCTGTACATCTGCAGTCCAATTCACTGTATATCGATACCTAACAACTTTATGAAATTATAAAGGGGGACACCTTCCAGCACAATGTATTTAGTCAGGCAGTGTTCACACCCCTGCTGCACCCCCCATTTTTAATGGTTTTCTGGACCATTAAAAATGTATATCCCAACCAGTGGCGGAACTACCACCATAGTGACCGATGCGGTCGCTATGGGGCCCGCTTTTATGGGCTGAGGCAGCGGGGATCCAAAAACAAAAATGGACGGCGGAGGAGCCGCTGCCTACCTGAAACTGACAGGTCGTCTGATTACTCCAGTGTTTGTAAATAACTGGGGACACATAGTACTATGTGTCCCTAGTTATGAATGAACAGGAGGGGATTTATATCCCCTCCAGTTCATTCATGAATTTCTCAATGGGGAGAAGCACTCAGTACAGAGGCTTTTCCCCATTGAGAATCTGCTTGATATCTTACTATCAGCAGTTTGTGAATGAATGGGAAGCCTCTGTACTGAGTGATGAGGCTGCAGAAAAAGACACTGAGGACAATGAATGGGAGTGATCTACAACACCTCCTGTTCATTCATAGTTGTGGTTATAGTAAACATACTCTGTCCTCATGTTATCAATGAACAGGAACACTCATAGAGGATTCCTGTTCATTGATAACAGGGGATACAGAAAAAGAGTTTGAGGACTCTGTGTCCTCAATGTCTTTTTCTATTTCAAAATGGAAATGTCAGGGGTCTGTTTAGACCTCTAATATTTCCCCGAAGCCCCCCCCCAACAGTAAAATAATAATAAATAATAATTAAAAAATAAATAAAAAATGTGTAAATCATTTTAAAAAAAAAGCACAAACCCCCTCTCCCCCAACACGCATAACATACACGTGCACCATATTGTGGTGTACGCCAGGCACATGCGCTGCAGTGCGTTGTTAGAACGCATCGCAGTGCATGATTTTTTTCTTTTGTAAAAAAACATGAATTTAACTGTGGCAGCGCATGGCAAAGCTTTGTGATGCATTGCCGTGCGTTGTGATACCTTGTGTTGTAATTACATATACGCCTGTATCATTTTATCACAACACATGCACCAACACAGCGTAAAAACCATTTATAACATAAATTGCTTATTTACAGTTTAGCGTTCTATATAGCGTTATATTTTTTTTATAATCCCCCTTTCCACAGCCTCTCATTGGTGTGGCAGTATTAAAGTGTTAGGCCTCATTCAGGCGCCATTCACACCAGGGCGGAAGCGTTTCACCGTGGTTTCTGCACGATTTTTGAAAGATCATTTTTGGCTGTTTTTAGTCGCTGTAAATTTTGCTATGGGGCCCTGGGATTTCTAGTTACGCCCCTGATCCCAAGAATTCTTGGTTAAACCCAGATTTGCTTTTTTCCACCATTACGTTTCCTTTATCCTAGCTATTCCAAATAGCAAACAAGATAATTAAGAGATGACATGAAGGTTTTACTGTAGAATAAACATTTTGGTAGGCAAATAGAACGTTTCATAAATATTTGTAAATCAGACAAAAAAGACAGAGGGACAGACAGATTTAGTCCCAATTGAGGGACAGTTGGGAGATAAGTTATGTCTGCAGTGTGAGATATAGGGCACTGCTGCCTCTGACTGGTAGAGATTTGAAATTAGATTTGGGGATGTCACTTCTGTGCTATGAACTGTTCTCCTTGCTGGATGCACAGACATAAAGAAGCAAAGCCCTGCCTCTACCAAGATAGCCTCCTTCACACAGAGATACATTTTAGAATAAGTCATGGTAAGTCAGTATTATGGAAAAGATCAGCTGCAGGGGGACCACAGACAATACTGGTGACTAGTAAGGATGCTCTATGTTCTGTATTTGGACACAAAAAACTTTGCTTGTTTGGGCATTCATCCAAATGGTGAACATAGCAATTCCTGGCATCACCCGGTCCATTCACTTACCTGTCGCCATATTTAGCCAATGATGTCATTACTATCCCTGCCCCTTTCCTTATATTACACATGGCAGTTCGGGAGTTGTCATTGTGTGAGTGGATGTGTGGGCAGGTTGGCCGTTTATTTCTTTTGGTGGGTGTCATTTATTGTGATTGACAAGGATCTGCATTGCTGGGCGACGTGATTGAATGGATATACAACATGGGACTATTTATGTATTTTATTAAAGTACTTGTCAAATATCTGAGTGTCTTTATTTACTGTTTACTTTTTTTGTGTATGAGTAGGGGTTCTATTTACCCCTTACTCCTTCACGTTGGGGGTAGTATGAGGGGGCTCCCTTACTTTTAAAATGGGCTTCAAGATTGCAATTATCCCCCCATCTGCAGACCCCCACAACCACCAGGCCAGGATTGTGGGGAAGGGGCCCTTGTATTCATCAACATGGGAACAAGGTGCTTTGCCAGGGACGTTCCCACATGTTGAGCGCATGTGGCCCAGTATCAACCCCCCCTTTTCTGGCATGCTTGGATAAGGGTCTGGTATGGATTTTGGTGGGGACCCCACCTTTTGTTTTGTTCTTTGCCTGGGGTTCCACGGTAAAATCCAGATCCAAAAGATTTGATACTGATTTTTAGGGGGGGGGGAGGGGGGCTCTCACACTGGGGTTTTTTTTGTACTACAGCAACATTTAAAAAAAAGAAAATCCTGGCAGACTTCTTTTTTTTTTCTGGGAGGCTTTTTTTTTTTTTTTTTAAACAGCATAGGGACATCACCAAATTTCATCCCAAAATATATACCAGACCCTTAAGGATCTAACCAGGAAATTCATGTGTGGAAATCTCAATAATAAAACTCCTGGGAGATATAAAAAAAATCTCAGGTGGTTTAAGGCCCAAAACTAGACAAAATAGTTTGTCTATTTTTGTATAGACTCGGGTAAAAGTAAATATTTACGTCAAGTTTTTATTGCTGTATGCGACGCCTTAGAGAGATTTCACCTCACTTCCTGTCCCTGTTATTGCAAGGCAGGCAATGAGAGGAGCAGCAGATGTCACTGGTTCATGAGGAAACAATAACCTGACAAAGGTTCTAAATCTTGCCCAATTTATGGAAACAGAGGACGCAGATAACAAATTAAACCCTGGCAGAAGTTCTAACCCTGAGCAATACTAAAAACGTTGTGGCAGGAGTTAGGCTTTCATTTTCCAGCATCAACAAAAAAGTGTCAGTGGACTCGTCCTTGAAATTGTCTCATTTATTTTATTTTTTTCTGGATTTATGTGTTTCTTCCAATGTGACACATTCTTATCTCACTGCATGATGCTGCTGAAGTGTGGACAGGCCATTCCCTCTACTGTATAATATTCACAAATCACACATCCCAATAAAACAGAACATAAACAATCTCATACTCCAATACTTATCTTTTCTGCCTGAATACACTATATTGTGTATGGAGGGCAAAAATGAATAACACAAATGTCACTGTCACAATCTTACTCACCATGTTATGTCTATACTGAAATACACTCGAACAACATCCGGCTTCCTAGTAAACACACGGCTTGTCTAATGGATTATGCAACGTTTATATTTATTCTAGTTAACCATTTACAACATTCCAAAGGGTTCAAGACACAGGATATTACTCACAGTGATGCAATACTATTACACCAGTGGACTTCTATGCCGGGGATGACCTATATCTAATAGACTACGCTGCACAACAAGTAACACTCCTTCGTTTCTTGTGTAACAGAACCAAAAGTTTTAAATATTGTACCTCATATGTATATATTAAAGTACAGTATATCAAAATCCCAAACTTTTTTTTTTGTGGGATAGAGTTTTCGATACTGTAGACAATGGTTAAAGTGTATCTAAAACTAGAAGCAAAAACTGTAATAATATTACTACGTGTATTTATATAGTACAGCCTACATAC